GGCACAGAGAAATATATTTTCATTTATAATTTGTTCCCTGTTCCCGGCCGTAAAAGATTCCCTGGTGTTAGGTCCAGACAGGACCCTTCACCTTACAGACTCCGCGGTACGCCTAGAAGTTAGTAAATATACAGAAATAGTTCTTTGTTAGTACCCCCTTTTTTATTTTAATTTGCTTGGAATAAAACCTGTGTCTTCACCTATCACAGGTGGTTAAAGGTTTTCTGCATCTCTGGGCTGGCCAAGCAGGGCTGGGACAGGGGGATGCTGAAGAAAGGATGTGATTACTTTATCCATGAGAATTTTCTGTCATTTACCAGGAGCTGCAACACATTGCAGGCAAAAACACTTTGCAGCAGACAGAGATGATTAAAATCACACACTCAGGGGGGAGCCCAGGACCCATTCCCAGCAGCCCAGCCAGGCTCCACTCCAGTCCTGCACAGCATCAGCTGAGGTGCTGCTCCATCAAATCTCCCTGTCAGTGCTGCTGATGTTCCACCATTTACACAGGCTCTGGCACCTCCAATTCCAGCAAAATCACAAACCTGGAATCCAATCAAAAGGTATCTGGGGCAACACCCCTCAGCAACGGAGTCAGCCACTGGGATATAACCTGGCCCTTAAAACAGCCTTGTTTATCACTACATTTCTGTACTGAAGAGCACAATCCTAATTAGGAGGCAGAGTACCTCTATTAAGAGGAATTTTTGTTTTAATTATTTTTTATTTAGACTGACATAAAGAGTACAGCCACCTTCTTACCAACCTTCTTCAGAAAGCAACCACATCTAGGGTTGGATGAGTTCACCTACTGACAAAGTCAAGCCCTCCCCCCATCTGCCCCCCCCCCCCCAAAAAAAAAAAAAAAAGCAAAATACATTTTCTCAAGGAAAAAAAAAACAGCAGAAATTCCTCCCAGACAGAAAATTCTCAACTGCTCCATTGCTCTGTTTCCATCCTTCTTTCCCTGCAGAAAGGCAAAAAGCCAGCCTTATTTTAACAGAACTCCAGCAATTAACACTGTTTAGGAAGCTCTGTTCTCACTAAAGCAAAGGTTAATTGTTCCACACTCATTTGTCAGACTTCAAGAGACGAGTTCTACGATATTAGGGTGTGGTTTTCATCTCTTTAATGCAATTTTTACATCTCTGGGAAAAAGTCTGAGTTGGAGTGCCAAAGGCGAGTATTATCTAACTCTTCTAATGGAAAGCTAAAAGTCACATTTTGCAACTGCTGGAGAGGCAGAAAGGGCCTTGGAACAAAGTCACTGAAAAGCAAAAATGTCTTCAAGCTATAATAGACTTTAATGAAGTTAAAAGAAAGGCACCATCAGGAAATGACCAGACTGCAGAGAGCCAGGTGTCCATCTGGCAGACCTGGAAGGGTCCTCTGCAACCTTGTGCTCCATCCCCTGAGCAATCACTGAAAACACGTGTCCTCCCTCACTTGAAAAGCCTTTGGTGGATCCCATCTGCCTAAAAGCCACCCTCAAATAAAAAGAGAGTCTTTCAGAAAAGCAAAGACTAAGAGTAATAAAGACAACTAAAACTGTACCAATCCCTAGAGGACAAGAGTAAAGATTTGCTCGGGGAATTTGAGGCAACTCAGGTTAATTCAGAATTATTGTTTATGTATCCAAACACCAAACATGATTAACTGACATCTCCATTACTAAAAAGGAAAAAAAAAAAAAAAAAGCCAGCTGCCAAGCCAAGCACATGTGAATGAAGCATAACAGCAAATTATTTCTTCTTGTTATCTGTTCTTTTCCTGGATCTCCATGACTGTGTGCAAACAATTCCTGATGTTGCTGTAAGCTGAGCATTCCTGCTAGAGCCAGTGAGAGGCTGAGCTCATTCCAGACTCGTTCTTTTGGAGTTATTTATTGCACTAACAAGCACAAACTTTATCTAACAACACTGGGGAGGAGGGATAAATTAGCAGGGAGGGCTTTTAAGGATGCACCTTCATTAAAAACAAACAAAAAAACATAAACTACCCCCAAAACACAACTGAACAGAAGCCAAGGGGAGGATGCCAATAGATGCCAACAGGCTGTATTGCCTGGCTAAGCCAAAATCTCAATCTGTGTGGGCCCCACTGAGGTGAGCAGAGTGTTCAGTGGACAGATCCTGTCTTAGTGAGCTTATGGACAGGAGAAGAGAGGGGTTAAACAAGTCTGGAGAACTGAAGTCATTGTCTGGATGGTTCAGAAACAACACAGCCAGGCTTACCACAGATTTTATACTCTGCAGTTTGCCTTCTAGGACTGCTGCTCCTAACAATCTAAAGTTCTCACCTGAGCACTCCTCCCACTCCCCACAACAGGTAAAGAAGAAAATGGGAGCAAACAAACTGATCAAAGGAAGACAGATCCCCAGGGTCATTTTTCCCCACTTGGGGCTGCTTTAACACGCCAACATGAATCAGCAGCTTTGCTCCCACCAGGGATGGGGAGAGAAGAGAGGCAAGACTGATGAAGAGAGCAAGCAGACAGACCCTCGAGGATGTGTCAGCCCCTGCTGTGATACAGAATACAATGCACATTTTGGGGAAAATTTGAGAAAATAAAACTCACACCTCTACAAACCTACATGTTCACACTAGGTTTACTAACCGTCAGCCAGTGGGGCACAAGCAGAACCAACCTTCCCTTTCCTTCCTCTGAAAATAACCAACTTTAAATTGTTTATACTCTAACTAAAATGAAAATTATTGGACAACCCAGCAGTTGTCCCAAAAGGACATCTGAGACTGGCTCTGACAGTCCCTGCACACATTCCTGATTTATATTGGCTGTGGAGCCAGTTCTACCAAACCCCTGTCATTAAACAGATTTCCAGTCTGTCTGCACTGTCCCACTGCCACTGCTGGTATTGAAACCAGGTGCCCCAAATAGGAAACACTATGTAGATAACTATGTAAATACTACATAGATAACTTTAAATGGGAGCCAGATTACCCAGGATGTGCAAAGACTCACCCTCTGCAACCTGTCATCCCTGTTGGCCAGTCACCCTCAGCTTTTAGATCCAGGGATATTACTGGGGATACAATCACAGCAGATCTGTGCTCAAATGCTTGGCTCTTCCAACATTTGATGTCACAATGTGTATCTACACACTAAAAAAACTAAACTACTCTTCCAGAGCTGCAGCACAGAACTCAGTCTTCCTGGCTTTGACATCTTTCTTTTCCATCTCCACAGAAAGCACTACTCCTTTGCTAGGACACAACTGGTGACAGGCTTGGTGGCAAGCTTCCAGTAAGCCATTCCTAGTGCAAGTGTGGCATTTTGGCTTAAAGTCATCAGGTACTCTATCTGAGATAATGAAAATAACAGAAACCAGATGTGAGAACCCATCCAGTGATCTCTCCCAAAGTCCTGCCATTTTATGAAAGTGATTGTGAGTTCCTTTCTGTACAGGAAAGGAGTTAATGTCACATCTAACATATAAAAACTGAACCACCAAAGGAGAGATTCTTGCAAATCCTTGCTGAGTATGTACAGCAACAAGACACTGCTGCAAATTCCTCAAAAGCCCCAATAATACAGACCATTATGGAGTATCACCGGATTAGGACATAACAATCAATGATTTTTCTATTTTCCCTCATGTTTCAGTTGCTCTCTCTGACCTCATTTCACTGCTCAGGACTTCAATACAAGAGGTGCTCTGGAACATATTCCCTTGCACCAATGTGAAAGAAAGACAAATCCAGAGGAGGCAGCACCCCAAATAAAAGTGAATGCAGAAGTTTGATGCCTGCTCGGCCCAGGCAGCTCCCAAGGGTTGTACTTGATGATCTCAGAATTAACGGGGTTGGAAGAGACCTCCACGATTCTAAGGCCCCGCTCCACCCCACATCTCACCACCAACCGTGCCCTCCTTTTCTCTGGTGCTGAACCTGGCACAGGAACGCTCAGGGAGGTGACAAACCCTTGTCAAAGGGGGACCCCACGATCAACTCACCAGCACGCGGTCTCCAAGCCGTAAGTCCTTCTCCCCCTTTTTCACGGACCCGCTGTCCGAGAGGTTGGATCCGGACTCGTTGCCCGTCTTCATGGCGCTGTTCAGGACGCTCTCCCGCAGCGGGATGACGCGAGTGGAGAGGGGTGGCGTGGCCGTGCCCGAGTGCAGTGACAAGTTCTGGGCCGTCAGGGAGTCCACGGAGGGGGCGTCGCTGCCCGAGCCCTCGGCCACCGGCTGCCGTGTCAGCTTGGACGGCCGCGTGAAAATGCCCTGCAGTGGCTGGCACTCGAAGTACCGCACTCCCCCGACAGAGCCGTCATTCTTACCCACCGGGTCATCCAGAACAACCCCTGCCCACTGGCCCGGGGCAAACTGCGTCTCCCCAAGGTACTGGATCACTCCCGGCTTCACTCCGTTCACCCAGACGCGTTCGCCCACCACAAAGTCTCCCAGGAAGTCATCGCCCACCTCGGCGACCTTTGAGCCCGACTTCTCGGTGCTGGCGGTGGAGGCGGGACCCTGCTTGTGCAAAGGTGAGCCTGTGAATCAAGGGAAGAGAGGTTTTGGTATGAGGAGGGATCCTAGAAGGCAGCCAAAACACCAGGAGAGGTCAGTTACAAAAAGGAAACCTCTGGGACAACAACCGAGGTTGCGGGTTTACACCCGGTGAAGGTTAAGCCCGAGCGACCCCATTACTTACACATCTTCCTTGGCAGGAAAGCAAATCTGCACAGAGACCTCCATCTGCCGTCCAGTTTCTGCACGTCTCACACAGAATACAGAGAAAAAAACCCATGTCTTCACCCCCCTTTACAGTGCCCACCTATCCCAGCCCCAGAGGGAATTCTGTGTGGCAGCAATTAGTGCCAATAAGCTCAGAAGCACAGGAGGGGTGGTAAGTGCTTACGGATCAAAGGGAGCCCCAGGAACTGCTGTTTTGTAGAATAATGCCAAAGTCATCCTTTTATCCAGAAAAAAAAAAAAAAAAAAAAAAGTGAGGCACTGATGTTTTAGTACCTGGTGCTATGAGAACTCCCTGTGTGTGGATCCAGGAAGCACTGAGAGTCCCACGGAGGGCACTAAAGGCTCCTGTGGGACAGTAGAGCTGCCTTCACAAATCCCTTGCTTTCCCCAGCTGCTGCTGTGCCCTTTGCTGGAGCAAAACCAGCAGTGAGCAGAAACCTGGGGTATATTCAATATAAACAGCATCTCTCCAAACAGGAAGCATCTACAAACCTTCATGCACCGCCTTGCAGGGCCGTGGGTTGGACATGGAATTCCATAAAAGTGGCAATAAAGAGCTCTCCTATTGCAGCATCAGCCCTCCAGCAAAGCTCTGCTGCCTGGGAGAAGGAAAACTGCAAGGATGCTGGAATTCCCTGTCCTGTTCACACTCTCCAGCACACCCCTGATTGGCCAAACTCCCCATAATACACAAGGACACCCTTAAATACGTGACTGGTGTCTGAATGGGAACAGAGTCAAGCGAGGCAAACAAGAAGCAGAGACTCAACTCTTGCTGACCTCAGTGTCAAACTCCCTTATCACAAACTTTGGGCCCCAGGGGAACAAACAACAAGGACACGTGGACTTCATTAAAAAAGGGGGAGGAGGTTAAGTAAAGCCCCAAAAGAAACCACGCACCGAGGAAATAAGCTTGCAAAATAAGATCCAGCAAGTCATATACCACAGACCTTCAGTCATCCTCAGCTCTCAGTAGCACTGAGGTTCCAAATGGGGTTGTCCCCCACAGCTGGTGTAGGGGAGTTGTTGTGCAGGAGACCTGCACAATAAAAGCTACCTGGACTCTTCAGCAAAACTTTAAGCTGAAGTTTCTGGGTGCCACCAGCCAGAAATGCCTAAAGCACACCCAGGAAGAAGGTTTTGCTACCAGGGAAGGCTGACAGAGGACACCCAAAGCAGCTGCAGAGACAAGCCAAACTTGAGTGCTTATGTGAAACGAACTGTGAAACTTGTTCAGCCTCAGCCATCACTGTGGCTCAGTCCACAACACTTCAACAGCTCTTTCATAAGTAATGGGCTTGACAGATCAGGCTCAGCTCCTAGAAAGCCTGAAAAACCTAAAAGCTCTCAAAGCAAGATAATTCAAAGCTTTGCAGAAGGTCTAACGTCAAAAGAAAGAAAAGAGCACCAGGACTTCAGCAAATAGCTTAACAACTTAATTTCTGCTGAAACAGATTAAGAGTTAAGAAAGATGAATATTTACACTTTGGTTCACATTAAACTCCAGAGTCAACCCTTGACAGTTTCTGTGGCATAACTGCAGTGGTTTGTGGCTCCTGGAAGTCAGCAGTACCTCTGCCTGGCCTAAACCTTATCTGAACAAGGAGAGAGCAGCAGATAAGGCACAACTGCACAAACTCCTCTCATGAACAGGATCTCCTCCAACCTGCTCTCTGGGCCTGGTACAACTCTTGAGAAGATCAGCCAAAGGGGGCAAGCACAGCACTACACACGGGGGATGTCCAAGAGACCCATAATGGGCACAGGAAGGGCAGCACCATAAATACTGTTCCCAACTGAAAAGGTTGGTGGCAACAAGGACAGTGGTGGTGCTCCCAGACAGCTCCCTGGGAGAAACTTTCTCCTGGCCTTTGGGTCCTGCTCTGAAAGTTTTCATCCACCTCACATGTTCTTCATTAACTTTTTTTTTTTTTTTGGGGGGGGGAGGGCATTCAAGCTTCATCTCAGACTCATAAAAGTCAGTATACCAAGATGAGCTCCATCAGAGGGACAGCATTACATTCAAGAAACAGTTTCACCCTAAGAAATGAAAACCAAAGGCCATAAGGATGCTTAGAGTTTTCCACCTTTACAGAAGTCATCAAATATAGAGGAGTTGGAAGGAAACAGGGCTCCATCAATGTAAATCAAAAAAACAACCATAAGAAGAAAATAAGGCCACCATTGCCATTTCAATGCTTAACAGCACAAGAGAGTAAAGCAGCCAGATTAGGAACCAACAAGTCATATTTTTAAAACACTCTAACTTTAATAACCACACATGGCTACAGAGGTTTATTGCCAAAAACATCTGTGACAGGTATGTCTCTCCTATCACGGGTATAAGAATAAATTAAATTAGAAACACGACCTACAGCCTGTTTTCATGCTCAGCAAAGGGCCTCAAAATGCAGATCTCACGGCACTGGCACGTCTGTGACACACCAGGCCAACGACAGCCAAATTCAACCTACTGTACTGGGAACTGTAATCACATGAAATTTGGGGGGCTCTGCATCCACGTTCACAAAAGATGAAAGCTGTTTTTCTAGTCTTACTGGAGCCTGAGCTCCAGCACACTGGCAGTTCTTTATTAGAGGGTGTGGTTAATGATCAAGACACGGGTCACATTAGCTCTCACAAACACCTCTGCAGCGTGGCTGGGATAAGCAAGCCCTTCAGCAGCAAAGCCCAAGCAAAGAAAGGCAGGAAGGCTGCCCAAGGCTGAACAAACACCACAACAGGATTTAAAACCACATCCAGACTCACCGTGTTCCACCGCAAGAGCAAACACCTTCAAAACTGACTCGCACCAGAACAGAAACCAGAAACAGAACAGCCCATTTGAGTCTTGGTGCAACGTTGTGTTCCCCCCCAAAACTGAGATGTTAGTGAAACTTTACTAACAGCTCATTTTAGGTGCCTGTCTGGCAGGCAGGGCTGCTGAACTACAGTGAGTTCAACTCCTCAGGGAAACAATCCCATTCCCGGCTCCCGAGCAGTGCAGGCAGAAGCAGCATTAGTTTTGAGTATGAGGTGAATTATTAACAAATATAAGTTGTTAGTGAGGAACTGCCTGAAGGTTCACCTTCTTCATTATGGCCATCTAGCAGAAACTTGGTGTTTTACATGACCTTCACTGCCCACATATGAAATAACCACAGAGCAGTTAATGGGCTTTTGTGCACCAGGTTTTCAGAGAAGCCACCCAGGATTCCTGAGCTTTTCCAGCCTATAGGCACCTAGGGAGCTGGTCTGTGCCTGTGTCACTTGGATTTCCTGTTTCTGGAAAAAAGAAAAGTGATCTTGTTCTAGTCACACTCCCCAGATAAACACCAGCAAGTTCCAAGAAACCCACTAACATCAAAACAAGGGTCCAGATCTCAGGTGTGAAGCTGAGTTACACTAGAGAAACACACCCAACAAAACATAAACAGAGTATTTTCTACTCCAACCCTGCCATTACCTGGTGATGCCAATCAAGAGGCCACAGGAAGTCTCTGAATGTCACTATCAGGCATCTAACTCAGCAGCTCACCTGGAAGCCAGAGATGGGGAAAGCTCTTCCTGCTTGGTCCAGGAGGATGTCCCTGTGCTGCTCAGTCCAGCACAGACCTCACTTGCTACCCAGGACTGTGACAGCAGCTCCTGCCTCCTCCTCTTGCTGGGACTGGGCTCCAAGACACAACAAGCAGTGGAGCAGGATCTCTTGCACTTGGGCTTTTCAACTTTACAACCCTATTGTGTTCATTAGCCAGTTCATTCTTTTCCATTTAAATGGTTTTTCCTGTAGGTCACAGCTCTCAGGGCTGAACAACAACTTGCAAATCAAAGTCATACACGGCATCCACTAAATGCACATCTTATCCAGCTCCAATCTCTCTTTTCCCTTTGGTTTTCATAAAGCCCACACATGATGCATTAACCACCACCACAGCAGACCTGGTGCTTAGGGCCCTTTTCTGCAAACTCATCCCATCAGTTTTAGGGGCCCAGAGCGACAGGGTACCCCACACTGCCAGGGCACCAAACACTGCAGGAGCCAAATTCCTATCAGCCAAGAGCTGGAGGGGTTAAAGGTTTAACTGAGGTTTCAGCCTGTTCACATGGCTCTTGTTATTGTGTCAATGAAAGCCATGTGTCCAGTATCCTTGGAAGCACAAGGACTTCTGCAAGCAGAGCACGGACTCTCCCAGCCCTTGGAAATGTCTGCTGCAGGAAGGGGTGAGCAGAAGCTCTGTACAGTACAGAAGCAAGAAACCCCCCTTCAAGAAAGCTCAGGAAGTTGAAGCAGGAGGATCAGCAGGAATAACCTTCTCTGCAGGATCCCCAACAAGACACAGCCTCGTGCTCTGTTTAAGTGCCATCCACATTCACTGAATCCATACATCCCCTTACTCCCGCCACATCTTTCGACCTCCCACAGCACTCCAGTTGCTCATTTCTTATCACCAGGCAATTGAAACAAAGGGGAAAGGAAACTTGTTTCTAAAGGGGAGGAGGGAGAGGAAGAGAGGAACAGTTTAGCATGAGAAGCAGTGCACAGTGAGTGCTGCCCGTGTATTTCCTACTCCCTGCAGAACTCTTTTGTAGTCTTACTGCTCCCGAGACACATGCCAGGCACCCCAACTGCCAAAGGACTCAGAAATGCAACAGCCTGGTGGGTTGCCATGGGAATCAGGAGACAGGCAGTTAATTGATAAAATGGAGGCACATTAGATTTAAAAGAAAGAGGGGGGAGAGAGGGTAAAAAAAAAAAAAAAAAAAGATATACTAGAGTAGCATCTTGTGCCAA